AGGCGATACGTTCCTCCGAAACGTCGGTTAACACCACTTATACACGGTGCCAAATCCCAGAAGACTGCTTTCTTCATAGTCACCGCCGTGAAAGCCTCAAATCTTACACAATGCTCATATTGTTCGACCCTGAAGATGCGATTATACCCCAGAAGCTAGAATTCTTTGACGACTTTGATTTTCTAGAACATAATGCATGAACTCTTCGAACCTGCAGATGGAAGCGACATTTCCATCTGAATGCCGGATTTCCCCGCACTATATCCCAGAAAGCCATGCTCCACAGTGACAGTTATGAGAACCTCAGATCTAGCATAATAAAGTTTGTTGCAAGCCAGTGAATTTGTACAAGTGTTCTGAACAGTACACCCGTGCGCCCACAATCCGTCGAAGCTAATCGGTTTAAGCAAGATAATTTCTGAATAGCGAAAAGTGAAAGAAAGGTGGAGTTGTCCTATGCTTGATTAATTACGCGTTATGCCACGAAGACATATGGGGGAGTGGAAGTACAATTCCAACATTCTTGACCTCGGCACCAGATGGAGGTGTGTGGTCAGCTTCAATCCCCGGGCGCTTTACTCCCGATGAATAGGTCCCGTTACATATAGGACGTGAGCTAGGTGGGCCCCAGAGGAAGTCTGGACGTTATTGATAAGGAAAAATTCTCTCTTCCCTGCCGGGAATCGAGTACCAGTCGTCCAGCCGGTGCTCTCGCCATACGACTCCGTTCTGAGAGGGAAAGTCTATTGGAAATAATTATTTTAATTAACTAACTCCACAGAATAAAATTCTTATTGAGAAACTGGTGGTCACTCAACTCGTAGCTCATTATCATGTCATAAGGACAGACCACTGGACCCCATGCTCAGCAAGGTCCGTTCTATTTAAGGTCTATCTTAATATTTTTAACCGGAAACCGTTGAACAGAGGGGAGCCCGGGTAGTTCAGTTCGGTTGGTACATGACAAGGCTAAGGGATGGACCAGCGGGGTTCGATTCCTGGCACGGCCAAGGATTTCTATATCGCCAATGCTGTATCTTTCCCCCAACCGTATTCTTCTGTTCACTGGGTACCGGGCTTCTTTCTCCAGCTTATGGGTGGACTACGGGATAAAATACCGAGTTTGATTCTCGTCAGAGGCAGGGTATTTTTCTTCGCCACCCCGCAGTTTCTGTTCAAGGGATACGAGAGGTTCTTCTCTAGGGCAATTCAGCCAGAATAAGCCTGGCATGAAACTGGCCTCATCACGCACCTCTGTCTAATGCCGATATTGAGACCTCCAGGCCCTCATGCACTTTCATGGAATTGTACGTGCTTACTCAGTCTGTCGGCAGAGACAGTGCAATAGGCCGCAGTCAGCACCACGTCTATCGTTCGGGTGATAATGTGATTGGTTGTGATAGTCGACATGCAGTGAAGACTGCTTGAATTAGTGGGCCACTTGCAAATAAGATCTTAAACTGAACATAACCATTCTGTTTCAGACAAGGCGAAAAGTGGCACATGTTGAGGTCTGTTCTCACCCCTGAGCTCACTAGCGCCAAGACTATACAGCGGTTCCTCCCAGAACTGAACCAGGTGGTTGAAGATTTTATGTCATTTCTAAGGACAACACGTGACAAGCATGGCGTAATCTCAGGATTCGAGGAACTGGCTAATAGGATGGGTTTAGAAAGTGAGTCTATATTTCGGAGTTAAGCTCATTGAACTTTCATTATGCAAGGATACGCCATTTCCCAAATAAAATATACCCAAAGGATGTTCTTTATTTTAAGTTCCTATTAACAAACATGCAGACTCACCACAAAGATTAGTTAAACAAAACCTGCATTCATAGTGAGCTGAAGCACGACAACAGTCCATTAGATTCTAAAGGGTTCTGGTGATCTGAGATTCTGCACTTTGTGCATCGTCCGGTATTCTAAAAAGAACTAGAGAAACAATGTTTCGGAAATTCGCCCTGTTTCCTTCCTCAAGTAAGAGGGTGGGAGACCAGTGATTGAAGTTAGCCCTTTCTAGAGGAGCCAACAGAGTAGGTGTCTCCCAGCCCCTTATCCTGAAGACAGAAACAGATACACTTTCCGAAACGCTGTGTTCTTTTGTGTTCACTGAATTTGTTTTAAAATCCACCTGTGTTTCTTGTCTGCAGGCACATGCACCCTGATCTTGGGGCGACGAATGGGATTCCTCGAGCACGAAGTGGACGCGAAGGCGTGCAGGCTGGGCGCAGCCATCAAGGGTCATTTCTGTGCCTCACGTGATACCTTCTATGGGCTCCCATTCTGGAAGGTTTTCCCCACTCGGTCCTACAAATTATTCGTGGAAAGCGAGGAGAAGATCTACGAGTAAGCATAAATTCAATATGCATCGCGTTGAACTGTGCAGGTTTCACGGTTACAAACCCATCCGAAATGTTTCCATCTCAGCAAGTTTTAGGGCCGCACTTTTGCATTTTTCTTTGGTTTTCTGATACAGAAAATGCATTCCAAAATAAGTTCAGAATAAAAGTACATACCAATACTTTTTCCACGGCAGGGAAATATTTTCTAGAAAACTAATAGTTGCTCACCTGTTCAAGACATTTTCTACATTTTATGGAACACGACGGTTCATAAACATGTTATCAAAAGCCCACCACTGGACCCTATCTTGAGCCAATTGAATCGAAACATCACCACCAGAGTCTATTTTTGTTTAATATTATTGTCACGATTTATGTAGCGTGTCTATAGACAGGTCTTGGATTTATGACTCGATTTATTGCACACTTTGATACAATCACGTTTTCACTGCCGTTTCTTGGTAGCGGCTTCCAACGGCGAACGTTCCCCTTCCTCAGCTACCAGCTTCTAACAGCAACAGCTCACAACGAGTGAACTCTTAGTGGTTCTCTAAATGAGTGCAACTTAGAGTCAAAGTCAAAGTCAAGTTACAACCGGCGGTCAGTCAGCCAGTCTCTCTTGGTGTCGAGCCTCCATCTGAGGCCCAAGACGAGATTTTTATTACTTTCAGAAAATTGCGAGTTTGTTGATGTAGGTGGCCTCTCTGACAAGAGGACGGTTTTATCGTTTCAAATTGCTGCTGGCCTTCGCCAACACAGTCATTGTCGGGTCCGAGTCCCGCGGGACTCCTGGCCAAATTTTACTGTCTCAGAATTGACACTCCCCCAACCTGGAGGGCCATGCCTCCGAATTTATATCCCCCAGGAACAGGGTGGCCCAGTTATGCCCCCAGGCACTGGGTTCCCTTTTCGTAGCCTCCTGCGACTCGCAGACCTACCGTGGAGGTATTCGAACCCGCCCCACTCCGGGAACTCTGAAACTGCTAACTGGTCCTGCTTATAACATCACGGAACGGACCGCTTAGAAAACGTATGTTGCTTAAATGCAGTATTCTATCGTTACCGTGAAAACGTGCTTGTTTTCGAAGCCATTACTTAGCAATGGCTGTTATATAGTTGCTTGTTTCTCAGTTGTTGTCTTCAATGGATCCACACGCTACAATATTATAAGTTGACTAGGCGTTTTCTTAAGTTCACATAATCAGCTAATTATATTGATTCTTATGGGAGAACCGTACGTTTCGGCTTAAGAACGTCTCATCTTATAAGACCGTGTAGCCTGATGGAAGTTTACCAGTGTTTCGGAGGAACCTTCACTCCTATCATTGAGCCTGAGGCTTCAGTTTGGAGCGATACATTAATAAACGACCCACAACTTTATACAGAAGACCGTAAATTGAACGGTACCCAGAAGACCAGGGTTTTTTCTGATGTCATTTTTCTAACTTCTGGACTCTTTTTCAGTATAGTATCAGAGATGGTCGAATCTGCCCTGACAGAAGAGAGAGAGATGTGCTCTGTTGATGCGGTTAGCAGCGTGTTCATGTCCATACTTAACGCACCAGGTCTCGACGTCCGCGAGAAGAAAGCTGCACTAATAGATTTCATTGCCGCTGGCATGCAGACGGTGAGTTTGGTCATGTTCAGTGTTTGTTTAGCGCCTCTGTCTGCCACTAGCCGAGACTATATAGCTTGCACTCACATGGTACTATCCCGGCGTTGGCATGGTAGACTATCGAACACTACGAGAAATCTCAATTGAGATAGCCCATGTCCTGGCCGAGATTCGAATGAAGCACCTTAAGAGTACAAGTCAGAAGCTCTTCCGCCTGAACCAACTTGAACTGTGCCACGTTGAATTAATTACTGTCTCAAAGTAATACTTCTGGAGTTCTAACCATGTCTTTACGAAAACTATTCTTGTCGCATGACGCCATGGTGTCAGGCAATTTCTCTTACTGTGTTGTATGACGGTATGCATACTGACCAGGCGCCGCGAATGACAGTATTGGCTGTGACGGTACTGACTTGATTATCCCTGAAAATGTCAAAATTTTCGGTCGGTACGTAATTTTACGGCACTTAGTGAACTGCATAGGCTGCTTACGTTTGATGGAATGAGAGTATGATTATGGGCCTATATGCAGGGCTCCGATGGTTCCTGTTAAATGTTCATGGTAACATAATTCAAACGTGCCCACCTCCGAAAAGTTCATCTGGGAATAGGCTCAGGTTCTTTTATTCGGGAGCTATCATCATTGGAATTTTAGTCGAGTACCCGGCCGTCCTGAATGCATTTCCTCAGCTCTTAACAGGCAAAATAATTTGAGGTAGGCCACGGTGTCATCTCCTCCTCTACCTCCTTTATAAATCACTAAACTCAAACGCACTCTTCATTCGACTTTATATAAATTCTGAAGTCCAAGCAGCATCCTGGAACAATCCACGAATCAACAGATATAATTCGCTCACTCGGAAGCCGGGATCGTGAGTTCGAATCCCACTCAGGGCATAGATGTTTAGTTTGTGTGTGCATTTTTCTGTATTTGTGTACAGGTAGAGGCCTTGCGACGAGCTGATCACCCGTCCAAGGAGTCCTACCGAATGTGTAAGATCTAGAAAAACCGAAGTGAACGGAGTTCATGGAGGTAGGCCTAGGCCCACTCGGGCTGTAGTGCCAAGGGAAAATAAATAAATAAGTTTTCATTTTATTTGCCCAAATTGAATTGCTGCCTTCTGAACATCAGATCTCTTGCATCAAGAGTCTGCCTACGTTTCCCACTAGGGCTGGAAAGTAGCGTAAAAACGCCACTGCTTATATAGTTGAAGCCGGCAGCAGCAGAAAGGCCGGTAGAATTTATTTCAACAGTATTGTGATATGAATTAACTAACCATCAAAAGAGATGTTAAGAGTGTGAAGTCCCGAAACTGCGACGTCCGTATGTAATGAACTGTGCTTGCAACGAAATGCAGCTACTCAACTCTTGTATTTACACGACATTCTATAGGCACCGTAAATGAAGTGTTGTAATATCTACATAATAGCATAGTTTTCTGCCTCTTTTAAAGCAGAAACTGTGATAAATTTTACAGCTTGGGAACACACTGGTGTTTGTGCTGTATCTGATGGCGAAGAATCCCCGTGTCCAGAAACGGCTGTATGAGGAGATCCTGCAGGTAGCCCCAGGCCGATGCCCATTGACAGCCGAGACCTTAAGACAAGCCACCTACTTGCAGGCCTGCATAATGGAAGCTTTCAGGCGAGTTTCAATATTTTCTCTCTTTAATTTCTCTTGAATACGAAATGGGAAAATTTCATTATAGGAAGTTTGTTTTATACGTGGGCTGCGCTACGTCTAGGGAGTTGTAACATCAGTGTGTAGGGTAACCGCACTGGAGAGAGGGGAAGGGGAAATGAGTTTCTCTAATGGCTAATTTTTGCATCATTTGAATTTATTCGGCTCCTTTCGGTAGCGTACAAGTGGGGAAATTTAAGCACAGATCGGTGGTGTTACGTGTTCTGCAAAATATACATATCACTTTCAATATTCACATATTTATAAAGTAATAAGAGCATTAAAACTGCATAATGAGGAGCTTCATAACTTGTACTCTTCTCCAAGTATAATTAGAATGATCAAGTCAAGGAGGATGAGGTGAGCAGGGCATGTAGCACGAATGGGGGAGAAGAGGAATGCATGTAGGCTATTGGTGGGAAAGGCAGAAGGAAAGAGACCACTTGGAAGACCAAGGTGTAGGTGGGTGGACAGCATTAAAATGGATCATAGAGAGATAGGATGGGATGGTATGGATTGGACTAATCTGGCGCAGGATAGGGACCAGTGGAGGGCTCTTGTGAACACGGTGATGAACCTTCGGGTTCCATAAAACGCTGGGAAGTTCTTGAGTAGCTGCAGAATTGGCGGCTCTTCAAGAGTGGCTCAGATCCTTGAGTAAGTAAGTAAGAAATAAGAACATTACTGCACAGATGCTGTTGCTATCCTTGTATTGTCTGCCTTCTCCTCGTGCTATGATTCCTTGACTTCAGCACTCCAGTGTCTGTCTCCAAACTTGTCTTTGCCCTATAATTAACATTAAACCTAGTGCTGTTTTCTAGAAGCACTAGATTGCACTTCTATCCTTGAGGCTAGGAGCACACACAGCGACATCGGTCGTACGAAAAAATGTCGTACGATTTTTTTTGCCGTACGACCTCCTTTTCACACTAGAGCGACCAAATATATTTCTTTGCTCTCCGACTGTCGTACGGTAGATGTCGCATGTCGTCACATATGAAAGTTAAGACTACACTTTATATTCTACTACTTGATGCGACATGAACCGTACGGACATCGTACGACCGATGTCGCTATGTGTGTTCCAGCCTTAGCCCTGTACTGGAACGGACAGAAATATGTTGGTGGCTGTGTGTTCCAGGGTCCTGCCCACAACGCCATGCGTCGCGAGGATACTGGAGTCGGAGATGGAGCTGAGTGGATACCACGTGTCAGCAGGGGTAAACTTCAGCTATCCAGTACTGTGGAGTTAGTAACATTATTACTTCATACATTATAATTTTATTTGAATGATTATGACGTGTTGTTTTTAGACTGTGGTTCTGTGCCACACGTGGCTCGCGTGTCAGGAGGAGGTCAACTTCACGGCGGCGCACGAATTCCTGCCGGAACGCTGGCTGCAGCAAGGGGAGGTGACCCGCATCAACCCATTCCTGGTCGTCCCTTTCGGCCTCGGTCGCCGCGTTTGTCCTGGGAAACGCTTTGTGGAGCAGGAGCTACACCTCGCACTGGCCAAGGTCACTGTTCTCAGTCATTCCTTATACGAGGGGGTACCCAAAAGAAACCGAACTTATTTTTTTTAAACTTACTTATTCAAATTTTAAGCACAAACCTTCAATCCCCTTCAAAGTACTCTCCCCTTACACTAATACACTTGTCTACTCTTTTATTCCATTTTTCAAAACATTGTCTAAATTCATCTTTTGAGATGCTTGACAGCGCCTCCGTCGTTTTTTCCTTTCATGTCTCTTTTCATTCGAGGAAACAAAAAAAAAAAGTCGCACGGGGCAAGGTCGGGTGAGTATGGAGGGTGAGGAAAATGGGTCATACCATTTTTGGTCAAGAATTGTCGTACAGACAGGGCTGTGTGAGCAGGGGCATTGTCATGATGGAAAAACCAGTCACCCGACTGCCACAAATCTGGCCGCTGAGCTTCAAGTCACTCCCGACAGCTCCACAATTTCTTCAATGGTCCGTCGTCGATCTCCCTTGATGATTTCACGAATTTTTTCAACATTTTCATGTGTTCGGGCCGTGGAAGGACGACCAGAACGAGGTTTGTCATCAATTGACATTTCACCATTTTTGAAACGGGAAAACCACTCAAACACTTGAGTTTTCCCCATAGCATCGTCCTTGTACGCCGTTTTTAACATTTCAAGAGTTTCTGTTCCACTTTTCCCGAGCAAAAAGCAGAATTTCACCGCCGCACGCTGTTCACGAAAATCAGCCATTGCAAAAACGACGTTCACACAAAACAGTTGTCACTATAAACTCTGCCGAAACTAGTCCTTACCTTCTGAAGTAACGGTAGTCGGCTTATCGACTCAGGAATGTTAGCTCTATGCGCTCATAGCGGCAAAACGCGGTACTACAAAAGCTCTGCCCACAAAAAAATTAGTTCGGTTTCTTTTGGGTACCCCATCGTACATATATTTTTTTCTGTTTTCCTGAGAATTCGTCAAGGGTTCATAGTAGGGGGAGAAATGAGTTTCTTGATGTAGCTCCGCAGGACAAAGTATGCTGCGGACAATTTAAGTGACAGACATGTCAGGTAATGGAACATCCATCATTTTACTTTATACTACTGTTGTCAGCGCTCCTCGCTGCCAAGAGGTGAACTAATCTTCCAATTTATTCTAACAAAATTCTCTTCGTTCTGCATTTATACGCGTTCATTTCGGAAATTACTGTTCAAAATTGCGACCGAATTTAGAAAACTCTATGCTTAATACGCACAGCATGGTTATGGATAGAGTTAGAAATATTTGTAATACACATTAAATTACGTGTGTAGTGTTACGTGTTTCTTACACTTCAGTGTTTTATTTTTTTGCAGTGCATGATTTTTATGTGTTTTCTTAGCGAAATGAGTAAAACCATTCCACAGTAGAGAAATTTCTGTTGAATTTCAAGTTCTAGGCGCAGTTGTTATCATCTGAGATATAACGCAGTTGTAACACGGCGTTTGAGAAATTTCTATTGGTCCATAAATTCTTCTGCGTGTTTCATACGAAACTATGGATGCATTTTTTTTTCAGAGTCTGAATTGGAAGATGGAGGGCAGATTTAATTTTTGTTGTTATTGGCCCGGCTTAAGCCCTAATTTATATGAGTCTAAAATCTAAACATGTCAGTTTGACCATACAAATAGCGTATTATTACTTTAGCAAAAACCAGCGTATGACTTAAAGTTCATTAACAAATATAGCTTCTTTTTCACATTTCCAATTGGCCTGTCCTTATCATTTAAAGAAGTACCAGGAGATGTACGCGATTTAAGACTCCCACACTGTGACACTGTTATATGATTACCTTTATAACGGTAGCTTCGCTTCTACAATAAAAACCAAGTCCAGTAAGTTACACAAAATCCATGCTTCTTGAATTTGGATGTGTGATCAAACAGGTTACTCAGTAACATAAATCTGTCATATTCTTTCGCAGATTGTACGAGAATTTCACGTGGACTTTGAAGGAGAACTTGAATTGCAGTTTGAATTTATACTTTGTCCCAAAGCGCCAGCAAACTTCATCTTTCACGACCGACAAGAATGACTTTAAAATTAACGTCTAGAACTTCATCACTGCATATCTACCTCTCAAATTGTTATGAATTGTTTAAGCATCACTTCGTCCCCACAAAACAAGCCACATTCAGTGTACTGTTACGTGACTTTATTGATGATACAGTGGTCTACCCGAGTGTCAATCCGCTCAGTGAAGCACCCTCATAGCAGTTAAGTCCGAAATTTAAATTAATAAAGGGATATAAAAGCCTGAAGACTATGAACGTCAGGGTCAGACAGAAACGAAGAGAATCTTCACTTAAAATTAGTAGTTACTCGGTAAATTTGAATGCTATAACTAAAATCCAACTAGAGCAATAGTGTCCGCATAAAGCATGTTTTATTCGGTTTGTCGTACGAGACAAAATAGTGGGGTGGGGTTCGAGGATATGACGTTTTCCCTCCCACTGCTATGGGCGTTTCTTTGTGTATATGGTGCCGATCTTTGAAGAAACGCGCTCCTCTGCGTATGCAGGTTAGTGGGCATGGAGAAATGAACGGTGAATCGGCGCGTGTCAGCAGTGACAACTTATTTTGAAACTAAATCAATTGTACAGAAACGAAAATGTTTTCGGCATGTGTTTCAAGTTCCGGAGACATTGCAAAATTCCTTCGCATAATGCCATTTTAAAGTTTATTGATTATTGCAATGTCCATGGTAGGGCAGTGAATAAGGCTGTTGGCCCTAGACTTTCAGTTCACACACCAGACATCGTCAGTCCGAAATGCCATCAGAGTCCATCGCGCTGAGCAAGATGAACACTTAAGCAGGTCCCTTCGAAGATCTGAGAAATTACTTACTTTTTTTTATTGCTAGTGGGATGGGACTAAGTCCCTTGTACTGCGGCCACTTCTGGCCTATTGTACCAGCCCCAGATGATAGGCGAGGGTAATTGTGGAGCAATTGGTGGAATGAAGATTGGCAGGGCAAACCGAAGTACTCGGAGAAAACCTGCCCCAGCGCCACTTTGTCCATCACATCCCATTTGACCAGACCCGGGATCGAAGCCGGGCCGCCACGGTGGGAAGCCAGTGACTAACCGCTTGTGCCATGGCGCGGCCAACTTACTTACTTACTTACTTACTTATTTACCTACTTACTTATTTATGGAGCTGAGCCCTTCTTGAGAAGCCAAATCTGCAGCTACTCAAGAATTTCCCAGCATTCTATGGAACCCGAAGATTCATTACCGTGTCCTCAAGAGCCCTCCACTGGTTCCTATCCTGAGCTAGATTAATCCAATCCATACCATCTCGTCCTATCTATCTAAGATCCATTTTAATATTGCACACCCACCTACGCCTTGGTCTTCCCAGTGGTCTCTTTCCTTTCTGAGAAATATAAGGGAACTAAATTACAACCATTGTTTTTGTTGTTTCCTAAAATGTTTTTCGAGAGTTTTCATCCAGCCAGCCATAGCAACCCACCAAAACCCTCATGTCCTCCTGCCCCATTCTGTACGCTGCTAATTGCATTAGCGATTTACGTTAATGATTAAATTTAAGGGAATGAAATCTCTGATCTTTTGAATTAAGGCTGTGTAAGCTTTTAGGAAGGCGATACGAAAATGAACTTATTTTTAAAAGGAATATTTGGAAGGCAGGGCACATATACAACTAGTCATAATTAAGTTTTACATTTACTCAGACCCACCTGGTACCCATACATAGTTCAGGTTAAGATCTAAATGGCGGGTTCTCATCACACTTGGCGTACATAAAGTAACTTATTTATTGTCGTGGTAGTTACCAATGTGTACGATACATAACTTCTGCAAAAATTTAAGATTTAATTTTCATTGACTTCAGCAATAAATTAATTTAACTCCCTAAGCCTACTGATACGAGATGATGTATAGGAGCAAAATGTATTTTCCAGATTGTTTAATTTATTATTTATACTGACAGTACCCATTAACTGATTAAGTAACTTATTTTTGGAACACAGTCTTTCTTAAGAAGCTAATAGTCGCTCATCTGGTCGGAAAATTCTCAGCCCTTTATGGAACTCGAAGGTTCATTACCGATTTCGCAACAGTCAGTCACTTGTGCCACATTCAAAGCCAGATAAATCCAATACACAAGCGCGCTCTTAATTTCCATAACATCCGTCTTAATATTGTCCTCCAAACTATTTCCAAGACTTTAAGTTGTCTCTTCCCTTCATTGTTGCATGACCAAAATTGTATAATAATTTCTCAACTTTCCCATTTGTGCTACATACTCCGCCCATCTTATCAACGTTGATATGATCACCATAATATTCGTATTTCGTGAAGGGTACACACATGAAACTTGTTCGGAAAATTTCCCCATCACAATTATGTTGCTTCCTTATCAAATTTCCCCCCCAACAGTGTTCTCAAACGCTGCTCAACGGTGTCCGATGTTCCACTGAATCGAACTTTGTCATATCGCCTGTTCTGCCATCCCGGTTGGGGGCACGATGCACACGTTCAGTGCCAATTTATTTTGTGTTGTTATTCGTTCAAGTAGTGACGAGGTCAAGAAAACGTGAGTCTGTACATCCACTCCCCCCATACGTCTTCATGGCATAGTGCTTAATTAGTTAAGCTCAGGGACAACTTTACCTTTACCATGTGAACGTTAGCGAAACAGCACCATTCTCGTATATACAAGTATTTTCTTGTACGATGCTAACAGCCTCATCAGTTGGTACAGCATCTTGACGTTGAACTGTTTTTCCGACAGACTATCATGCGTAGTGCTCATAAACATGGAAAGTGACGTAACAACTATACAGGTTCTTGTGAGATTTTAAATTTCACTGCGGTGAATATTTTAATTGTGATCTGGGTTGTGATAAGTGTAACAGGTTCAAATACCCTTAGACGGCGACCAACTCGCACAGACGTGTTTTTAGTAGATTATTATTGAAGTTTCGGTGGAATGTGCGGCCTCCATCGTCAGGGTACAAGATGAGGGTGGGAGTGGTACCTCAGCCAGCCTCGCTGGCTGAACGGGGCTGATATCGAGCACCAGTACCGGCAGGGTATGGAGACTGGTAGAATATTAAAGGGGGACGTACAATAGACTATTAGTCTCGGTTCATGGGGAAACCCACCCCCTCCAATAATAATAATAATAATAATAATAATAATAACCTAGGAAAAACTATAATATATACAGTATATACATTGCCCAAGTGTTCAGAGAATAGCGTAAGATTTTATTTTGTAAATATTGTATTGTACCTGAACTGTTAAAGAGACGCCAAATCATACGCATAGTCCATTGTTTACATCCTCTGTTTATCGTGACCTGCCAAATATATTTTATTGCACACAGAATTGTATGTATTTCTCCTTGAAATGTTAAATTGTCACCTCGAACAATGGCTTGTACCCGGAAGATGTCTTATAACACAACAAGGAAGCCCTGTTTAAGAATTTCGTACAGAATAAGCAACTTTTTCGATTGTTTTATTACAAATTTATTTTCAAATTGGCAACAATTGAAGAAAATTGCCTCTTGTTAGTTGTCTGTTTGACTTAATCCTTGACCTCGAAGATGGAAACAGTACATTCCTACGAAATGTCAGTGAACTTCTACCAGGCTATATGGTGTCACATGCCAGAAAACCGGACCTTCTGTACGTTGTTTCGAAGTTTCGCACTGTTTACTTGTTGTGTTGACATCATCGAACGGACTTTTGATTATAAAATATTGTAAAATTTCACGGGACACTTACTTTGTATCTGTAGACATGAACTATTTATAGTGTATGAAATATGTAATAATGTATTTGATGCATTTTATTTTACATATCAATAAAAGTGAATAAAATACTGTACATTTTACTGAAGGCATTCTAGTTTCAGTGTGCTGTATTGTCTCCCGGAAACTGAAAGGTAAGTTGAGGTGCTCACAGCGGTTGTTACGAAGGGTTCTGCCTTCAGGGGTATGACGCCGTGTAATCGTTTAAAAATCAGGCGACGTTTCGGAAGAATATATAACCCCAATTTTCAGGGTCGAAGAATAAGCCAAGCAAAAAAAAAACTAACATAAAGGAGGTGGCTTACCTGGTTCCTTGCTTGGCTTATTCTTATTAATCCTTTTCACTATATGTACCACTTGCTTTACAGTTAATTGTTCAGAATACAGTACTGAAAACTGTATACATTCAAATGCTGCTGACACTCGTATATGGCGTAACTATCGGAGAGTTACCACGACAGAGACTTGAATAGTCCACATTACTTGGGAAAGTGAAAGAACATGGTGCCGACGCTAGCTTTAGGGGCCTCTTAAATCAGGGACCCTGGTCAGCTGCCCAATTTGACCATTGGGCAAAGCAGTCCTGATGGTAGCCTTCACAACCGACAATAAACAAATTGCCACTTTTGTGGAAATTTTGCCAACCTCATTTCAGTGTACCAGTAAATATACATATGGATCGAGTTACGCAATTTTCCTGAGGTATCTCGTTATTTTACTATCTCCAGACAAATGCTCTGGCAGATCGATGGAATGGGCTACGGCCACTTCCATGCGAATCCTTTCCTCTTATCACTCACAAACACCAACCTTTCTCATTTGACGATGTACAACTTCTGCGGCTGTAACGGCGCCGTTAATAATCAAACAGTTTTACGGAAGTAAGGCACCAATTTGTTTCTATATTAATTGCAGTACAGGAGTTTAATTGGGACGCGCGGCAGCGTAGTTGGTTGAGGCACTGTGCTACAAGCCAGAAGGTCGCGGGATCGAATACCAATGATGTGAATTTTTTCAATTGACCTAATCCTTCCAGCCGCGGTACGGCCCTGGGGTCGACTCAGCCTCTAACAGAAATGAGTACCAGGAATATTCTTGGGGGTAAAGGGTGGCCGGCGCGTATGGCTGACAACCTTACCGCCATCTTTGAGCCGACTGTCTAGAAAATGTGGGAGCCTCGACATCTCCCAACCCTATGGGCCTCCAGGGCCTGTTACAGGGATAGCTTTACTTTATTTTACTTTACCATTACAGGAGTTTAATTGGTGTTGGTTAGTTAATTACACAACAGGGCCGCTAACTGATAATAAGTTTATTTCTTCCACAACATGACATTATCTACATTTAGTAGTTACTTCTTCGTATCACATTGTCGTGATAAGCACTGCCCAGGTTAAACAGTATCATTCAGTACACGTGATATATCAGTTACTTCAATCTGTCCAAATGTTTTCACTCACCCCTAAAAATACAAAAAACAACAATAGCACCAGACAGTATTTCAAAACTGTAATAAAGATTTGAGGTTCTCACAACGGTGGCGAGCAAGAGCTCTGTCTTCTGGGATATAGCGCCGTGTGGTCCGCTGAAGCAGCCAGCAAGAACAGCTCTGCTAGTTACCTGCTTCACGTTGGTTCCTTGTTTGGCTTTTTCTTCGACCCTGAAGATGGAGGTGACACGTTCCTTCCAAAAGTCGACTGATTTCCAAAGAACTACACGGTGTTATATCCCAGAACACAGAACTCTGCAAAAAATAATGAATATTACTTTTTTAAAATTATGAAAAATAAAATTCAAAGAATTTAATATGCAAGTTCTATAATTAGACCATGTAAACGTGTTCATAATTCAGAACATAACAGAATAAAAAAATGTTTAAATATAATAGATCATTGGCCTCATCATAATACTGAATAGTGATACAAATCATTATATAAACATCAACAATAAAAACCGTACACAGCTTCGAACCATGTGGAAGTGTAGATAGGAACAGCAGCAACACGCACGCACACACACACGTGCTCATTCACGAATGACTATGCAGTTTACAATAATCTACACGGGTGAACGGGTTTCGGCCACTTGTGTCCCTACAATTTTGTAACAAGAACATTGTATACTTCA